TAGAGCGGTCGTGCATCAAACAATTCAAATATGTAAATGAGTTCATTTACATATTGGGAGAAGATGAGGGCGGTCGTTCGCTACAAAATGCGCTCGTTCCTGATTCCTCAATAAAGTTGGGTTTTCCTCATGCCCACCTGCAGGGAATCTCACTTCCAAGCAGAATTAAGACCGCAGCTGAAAGTCCCGGTGAATTTTTAGTCTCGCACCTTATCCGGCAAGCGAAATAGCCACTTTGCTACAAATGTCTTTGAAGTGCTCTAAGTCGCGGCGCAAGCCAAGGTATTTTCGGTATAGAGTTTTCCATATGGGCGATAAACATGTTGACAAAATTTCAGCTTGTTTTCCGGCAGGTTTTCGAGTGAGCACAGTACCAAGTTGTAAAATTTGGCATGATCGTAAGCACTGCACAAGCGTGCGCGATAGCTGAATTTGAAATCTTTAACTCGCACATGCACAGAGAATATCCCTGCAAAGTTTCAGTTTTGTATCTTGGCTGATTCGCGAAATCGTTTCCCGTCAAAGAAATTTGCATATCATTTTCGGGAATCCATACGCGGGGCCTGAGGGCGTGTGAGCGAAAATTTTAAAACGGGAGGATGACACATGAGATAGGGACATACGTCCAAAATTTCAGCCTCTCAGCTTTCCTGGTTACTGAGATGAAAGTGGGTGACAAAGTTCACTCGCTTCCGAAAACGCACACACACACAGACGACCTCTCGAAAACATGCGCTTTTGTTCGTTATGGCGCTGCACAGCAAAAACAGCAAAAATGCATAAAAATACATATTCCGGCCAAGCTATGCCTGTGTGTACGTTGTCTGTAGTTACGAGAGCTAGGGAGCTATCACTGTGGAAGCACGATTCTCTCGCACAGGTGGACCCAGAAAGCCTGATATCAGCTCTGACGTCTCACCTTAAACATGTACGATGTCGTCGCTCACTTCCCTGCTCACAACACCGCATTGAAAATACAACTTTTAAATACTATACCGTAAAATACAACTTATAAATACTACATGGTTTTCCGGCAATCATGTTGAGGTGGATTTTGTAAACGTTGTTTCATCAAGATTCTACTTGATCTTAGTCCACGTTATGTTGCATATGTTGTCCTACGACTTAAGTTTCAAGTTCATCAATTTATAATTCGAAAACTAAAGTACTACATACTGGCAACACTCGGCGATATTAACATGAGGATAGGCTGTTGCGAATTTTAAAGTACTCTGATTCATGAAAGGCGACCTTCAAATCCCAAGTCGCTCTTTGTTTGACAGCTACGAGGTTTAGATCTCCAGCTAATCCGATGTAAACGCCCTGAAAATAAAGCCTTTACCTTGCTGTTTTCTAGCCCTCAATGTCCCAAATTCAGACCTATTTTGTGATTTTAGAATCCAGCAAGCCAGAAACTCAAAATTCTGGAATTTTAGGTGATTACGGGCAGGCGGTTGAATGTTATTTCCGAATATAACTACCTCTTCATCCAGGGCTCGAGCTGATAATAAAATTTTTTAAAAGGATATGAAGGCGAAATATTGCTGATTTTCATGCCGTCTATTAACTACGGGGTCATTTAACATGCATAGGTACGTGTTGCTTCATTCACCAGCTCAGCACTCACTTTAGAAACGCTTAGCAATGCACAGCCTCACTGACCACTTTTGTACAAAACAAATCTCACCAGAATTCCCATCTTTTCCGTTCGCTTTTATTGGCAAAAGCAAGTCGGCGTGCGTGGAACACTCAGATGAGTGTCAGTTCGCTTACTTTCAATGCAATCCCCCAAACAGAATATGAAATTTCCAAGCTCTCAGGAAATCTAACTTTTGCGCTGTGGATCTCCTCGAAAAATGATGCAAAAACAAACAGATTCGTCTTTCGAAAGGCGTGCAGAAAAAAGAAGATTGCATTTTTCGGGCCGGTTTTTCAGCAGCTGAAGCTAGGGCCTAAGGCCCATAATTTTTTCGTTTTTTCTTCTGCTTCCCAGCACTTCTCCGTCTACACACCCCTCTATTTAGTTCGAAGGCTGGCCTTTTCTGGCCCATTCAGGAATAAAATGAACGGGGCAGGGGAGGGAGAAGGGGTGGAGCGATGTGCGCGCAACAACGTAGGCTCGTTGAGCACGACGTATTGGCGGAACAGAGGCGGTGGCGGCGACAGCCTGTATATAAATAGCACCAATTAAAGAAGCAAAATGTAGGAAAAGGCAAGGTGTGCGTGAGTGTGTGTATGTGTCTGTACGGGGAGTGTATGTAATGGAAGATTCCGATGGAAGAAGGAGCGTTCCAATCCAGTATTGCTCTGACGCAGGGCGGCGTATGACCGGTGCTGCTGGCGCTATTGGTGTTGGCGCTGCCGGTACGGCTGGCAGTTTTGTTGTCGTTGCTCTTGTCGTCGTTATTGCGATGTCATACCGCCACCAGCATCTTCATCGTCACCATCATCGAACTGAGGGAATCCTCTTGTCCACACAAAGCTCCACCCCGCGTCCTGTCCTCCTCCTGCGTCCCGCTATACCTCATCCCGTGGCTCGACCTCATCTCCCTCCTCAGCCGTCATTCCGCTACATCATTTGTTCAGTAATTATTTTCATTGTTCTTGTTTAGCACACCATCATCGCCCTTACTTGAAGCGAGTTAGTTATTTCTACGCAGTGTCTGTAATGTCGACGAGTTACCCACCGGCTGGTGCAAATTTCACAGCATCGTCGATGTTCTGAAAGTGTCGAATCGGAGGACCGGACTCCCCTCTTCATTATCGCTGTATTGAAGACAAGAAGCTGCGAATGCTAAACAAAAGCTAACGAGCGAGCGCTAGTTGTAACGGAAATAGCGGTGGATACATGACCAAATAAACACGTGCACTGTCAGATGAGCTGCGTGCAGGACGTCATTGTGACGACGCGAGGAAGTAAAATTCGATAGGCGTTACTCGTCTTACTGATAATCGGTGGATGAAGCGCATTGATGAGTGGGTACCTAGAAGAAAATAAATGGCCAATTAGAACGGCCCGCGAATAGGTGGCACAGATACATCGAACAGGTAGTTGGTACTAATTGAAGCTGCGCAGTCCGGCGCTTTGCGTATGGGAGCGAAGCCA